TGCTGGGTGCTTTCACGGAGCGGGGCCACGCGGGGATGGGGGCCCGGGGGGTGGCCCCGCCGTCCATCCTCGCCTTCGGCAGGCGCGAAATCCCGCACCCCGACCCAAGGGGAGGCGCACCCCGAAACCCGCGGGGTCTGCGTGTCGGAGGTCTTGGCCGGACCCTCAAGACCCCCGAGAAGCCTGGCCCTGACGGAAGGGGGTCCCCGCTCCCCGACAGGCGAGCCCCCAAAACGCGGTGGGTCAGAGCGGGTGGTTGGGGAGGGGGGGGCCGGCCCCCCCGCCCCCCCCTCCCGCGGGACTCGCCTCCCTCCCCGGCGGGAAGGCAGAGGTCCGGCTGTTAACCAGATCCTGTTTGCTCATTAATGAGAAACCAGCTGGCGTCTCCCCAGGGAGCGGCCTCCTGGCACGACGTGACCCTTCTCCTCTGCCCTCGCCGCGGCTCCGACCCTCGGCCCCACGCCGCTCCTCTGCCAATTTACGACTTGCCCGTCTGCGTTCTCCCGTTCGGGGCGTCATATAAAACCTCCCAGGAGGGGCTCGGGGTTTCCCGGTTGCCTGCGTCCCGCCAGGCACGTCCCCTGCCTTTCGCCGCCCCCCCCCGGTGCGAGTTCCTGGCCCTTCACCTGCTGCAGGGCTCGTTTTCCCGCTCCGAGGGGGAAAGGAGTCCGTGAACGGGCACGTGCCGCTGCGAGCGGGTTGTGTTTGGACGTGGTGCGTGGCAGTCGGGCGTCTTCCGAGCAAAACGGTCCCGGGGCTCCGGTCGTGCTCGGGTGTGATGGACTTTTGGGGGTAGAGGAAGAGCGGAGGCACCGCTTCCACCACAGAGCGATGGTCCCGTGTTCTCGGTCCCTATCCTGGAAAGGAGAAGCTGCCGCTAAACTAAAAATACCCGATTTCTCCCTCCCCCGGCTCTGGAGCAATTCCTAATTTGTGTTTGAACCCAGCAGGGTCGGTTCTGCACTTCTGGAGCCAGGAGCGACCCACGGGCCGCAGCTGGGAGCCCATCTTGCCTGGCCTCTGGGCAGCACAGCCCAGTCAGCCGTGCGGTGGCTTCGGCTGGGTAAAAATCATCCCGGAGGAGGACGGCGGCTCCTTCCCAAGGCGCGGGGCTGGCTGTCACGCCGGCTGCTCGCCCTCCTTGCCGGGACGGGCACCGTGGGATGGCTCCGGCCGCCCCCCTCGGCAGCTCTTCTTTGAGCCTTTCACTAGTTTGTTTTTATTTGCTGCAACATAAATTTCTCTGGGGGCTAAACTTAGCCCGTGAAATCCCTTCTAAGGCTCTTGGGGGAATGAAACCCAGCACTGCCTGAACCTGCCTGGTAGTTTTCTTTGAAGGGAGGTTTGTGATTGCTCCGAAGCCGCGTTGCTCCTGCCCGTCTGCTGGGAAAGACCCGAAGCCCCGTTGGTGCCCGGAGCCGTGGCTGCCCCGCACCGGGGGCCCGGAGCAAGGCGCAGAAATGCTGCGGTGAGCAGAGCGGGGATAATCCGCCCTCTGAGCCCGAGCAAGGGCTTTCCTCTAATTCACCAGCCCAGACAGGTTAAGTCCCGGCTCTCCTGCCCGCTGCGGGGCAAGGCGCTTACGTTGATGGAGGAGTTTGTACGCAGGGTAGGGGAGACGCTGCCGGGCTGTGACAGTAGACGCCCTTGACTCCGGCTCTGCATGTCCCTGGGCTGCTTTCCTGCCCTCTGCCCCTTCGGGGTCTGTGTTTCGGCTGCCTCGGGCAGGCTGGGAGGGAGCTGCCGGGTGCCAGCGTCTCCCTGCCCTCCGAGCCCGCGTGTGAGCGGGGGCTCTTCGCTGTGGCCGTGGTTTCAGCAGCAAGGGCTCCTTGCTCCGGCTTCCCCCCTCCGCCGGCTCTCCCACCTCTGCTGATCAAGCCTCCTGCAAGCGTCCCGAGGGCTGGGCAGGCTCCACATGACCAAAGCCATGGCTTACGTTTAATTTTAACGATTTAATTTAATAACAGGGAAGCGGGATTGGATCGCTGGTTCTCAGGGGGCTGAATCCTTAACAAACGGTGGCTGCTCAGCACAAGCACGTGCAGGGGATGCGTACAGGGAGCAGAAAGGAGACGCAGGCTCTGGGAGCGAGGCTGCTCCCCGGGTGCTCGGCTCCAGTAGCGAGGCTTGTCCTTGAACAGTCGTTATCAAAATGCCGAGCGGCTCCGAGCCCCGCGCGTGGAGGAGAAGCTCAGTCCCTTAACTTTGGGCCGTAGGTGTGTGTTAAAAGTCTCTGCTTCTGACACCTCTGCAGCCTTGGCCCGGGCCCAGGCTGGCGACAGGCCGAAAGCACTAGGAGTTTGTTGTGGGGAAGCCCCTTCCAGGCCAGGGAGGGGACAAACGGTGGCGGGAGCAGATCGTGGCTCCCTTGGGGATGAGGGATGAGCGCCTCTACCCCATGGCAGGCTCTGCCGTGTGCTGCGGCTCAGCGCGGTTGCGCGAGCGGCGTGTTGAGCACCTCAGTGGTCTGGTGTGTGGAGGGTCCTACTGGAATTAATTGGGGGTGGTCGTTATTCCCAACTGGAGGGTGCCGGCATGCGCCTCTTCTCACTACTGGGGTGAGAAACCTGCTCAGCGGACCGAGCCAGGGTCTCTCCTCGCCATCTCGGTGTCGGCGGGAACGTGACCGTCCCCTCCGTCACCCCCTGGCAGGTTCTGTGGCGTTCCTGGGGCTCTACCTCATGTTCGGCTACGGCGCCTCGCTGCTCTGCAACCTCATCGGCTTCGCCTACCCCGCGTATGTCTCGTAAGTACCAGCGTCCCAGCCCGGCCTCCCTGCAGCGCCTGGAGAGCGTTCCCTGCCCTTAGCTGAGGGTCTCCCTGGCAAACGAACAGGCAGTTACGGTCGGGAAGCTCTTGAGACCTCCCTAAAAACACTGGGACCTGGCTCGGTCCCGGCCTGGGGCAGCAGCGCTCCGGCAGGCGGGTTTGCTCCAGGGTTTGGAGGACTTGGGAAGGAGGTGCCCGCCCTGGCGGCAGGGCTGCAGCGGCAGTGCCCTTCTCCTCTCCTGCCGCAGCATCAAAGCCATCGAGAGCTCCAGCAAGGAGGACGACACCACGTGGCTGACGTACTGGGTGGTGTACGGCGTCTTCAGCGTAGCCGAGTTCTTCTCCGACATCTTCCTCTACTGGTTCCCGTTCTACTACGCTGGGAAGGTAACGGCTTTGCCGGGGGCTGCCGGGGCCAGAGTCCTCTCACCCGATGGCTGAACTTGGAGGAACCAAGCGTGGTGGGCTCTGCCCCGTTAGCAGGGCGGCGGCGGTGGCCATGGTGGGGCCGCAGTCCCTCGCGGAGCTCCTGCTTGCTCCAGCGAGCTCCAGCCTTGGGAAGCTGCCTTTGGGCAGGGCCAGAGCCAGGCTGGGGGGGACTGGAGCAGCTCAGCTGCCGGCCTGTCGCTGCCCTCCTTCTGGGGGCTGCCTCGCTCGGCCCCGGCCTGCCCCGCCATCTTCCAGCTCTGGAGCGTCTCTCCTCCCCGCAGTGCCTGTTCCTGGTGTGGTGCATGGCCCCCGTGTCCTGGAACGGGTCGCAGGTGCTCTACCAGAAAGTCATCCGGCCCTGCTTCCTCAGGCACCACCAGACCGTGGACAACGTGCTGGGCAACCTCAGCACCAAAGCCCTGGACACGGCCTCCAGCATCACCCGAGAAGGTAACGCGGGTCCCCCGGTCCCCGCTGCCCTGCTCCACGGCCAGGGCAGGCGCCTTTCCCCGGAGCACAGCCCGGCTCCGCTGGGACGCGGGCAGCTCTCGTTTTAAGTACCGGCAAGCGGCCATCTCTCCGTGACCGTGGGC